GCATGTATTGTGCAAAACCGAACAAAATTGATGAACGCTTTCAAATCGATATGATCGCCAAGCACTTCCATTTAGCAAATTTGTTCGGATATGCATTCTTTACTAATTACCAAACGCGGGCCCTTTGCAAGTCTGCCTCAAGCGCTTGTCATCTTTCTAACTATTTTTACGTTCCAAAATCTTGTTCGAAACTTCTTGGAAAAGTTACGGCCATACATGCCCAATAAAGGGCACCTCTGGGTTGTGCTGTACTACAAACTTACCAAGTTATGTACTTGGTATTAAATATATTCTTTAATATTAAATGACGAGAAGAAAAGTGTAGCAATGTTTAAGGGTAACAAATTGTTACAACCAAAGGGGTGATAAAACTATACAAAAGTTGCGAAGAAAAAACTCAAAGGAATTTTCAAGAAACTGTTAAGAGCCCTCTTGCTAATAATATAGAGACACGCGAGTTTTTCTGTATGCACACATTACGAAAATTTGCAAACTGAATTCTTCAATAGTCAATAGGTTTCAATTGCTTAGTCCTTGGAATCATACATGGGTCAGATAATGGTGATATATAGCTTATTAACTTTTTTTTCTTTACTTCTCCCTCCCCCCGCCCTCCCCATCTTCCCCCGCATTCCACCCTCCTCCCTCATTCTGTCATTTTCACTATTAAGAAATAATTGAGGTCACTATTAAGAAATAATTGCCAGACTATTAAGATTATTTTATAGCAGCATAAAAATGTTCTTCAAGAAACCAGTTGGAAATTTCCCACGTTGCGATGCGATGCAAGATTTCGCTGAGTGAAACCACATGGTGTTATTTACCATCCGCCTCAAAACATCGCTGCAGCATGGGGATTTGAATAGAAAGATGAAGCACCTCATGAAGAAGGCCAGCTTTAAAAATGCGATTTATAAACCCAAATATCAAAGGAGTGAAGAAAAGTTTCTCTTCTTCTAGAGTTTTCCCTAGGCGTTACGTCTATTCATATACGCATTTCTCCAAGTTTGGAAAGAGTTCTATTTACATGCATTTTTGCAAAGAAAGCAGCAGTTTGATGTGTTTCTTTTTTTTCGCATTTTTTATTTGCATAAGCATTTAAATATGTACTTTTAAGGGCTGCGCAGACGCGCTTTACGACTCTATTTACCGCAATTTAGACATCGCCATCGCTATCAGTGTGATTGTTGGTGCACTTCAAGTTGGTTCACAGTTTTTGTTTGCTACGATAATCCCACATTATCAAACATAATATGCTCATTTCAGCTGCTTGGAATGATTCTTTCAATGATTCTCTGTTGCTGTATCAGTACTCAAGACAAGAAATACGATTACTAAGATTGCTCAATCGGTTCCACAACGAGTTCTACGCAAAGAGGTCTTCCGGCGATTTTTCGCCAACACGACTAAAGAATTGTCTCTCCTCTAAATTGGAGTGTTCTGGCGACTACTCGAGCATAATGTTTGCTGCCTTCGTAGGCCCGGTTTTGTATAGTACTATTTCGCATCAGGTTGTTCATAACAGAGTGCTAATAAACAAATGCAAAGTTCATTACTCTATGACACGTAAAAGTACAAAATCATCAAACAAAATCTGGGAAAGACAGTAACAACGTCGAGCAATCTCACGGATAAGGGAAACGCGTAAAATGCAATTTGAAGTGATTTTTGATGGTACCAGAATTGACTGCCTAACATACAGGCACTTATTATACTGATATAGTGGACTGGATAAGATCCTAATATGCAGATGAAATCTATGAGATGCTATTATCACACACTACGGCGAGTGTCCTACCAATATCACAAACGTTGATCGTCCTTCGGACAAAATTTCATAAACGTATAAATCATAGTCATTATAATATGAAGCAGTTGATAGACTCTTGAGCTAACAGATCACTTAAATTCCGTTTAATGCCCATGCACCCTCATTTAATTTTAAACCGCATTCCTTTAAGAGATTTGAAGAGATTAAAAATCAAGATATAAAGTCAGCTAATTAAACTTGTTAGTGAGATACAAGCGAAAAGTTGAGCTCACAATGTAGCGACAAGAGAAACACATCTAACCGGTATCAGTTTCTCTTGCACGAAGAAAAGGTATGTACCTACGCAAAGTAGTTTTGCGATTGTTCCTATGCT